TTGGTCTGCAATATGGTCACGTGTCATGAAATCATTGGCCACGAAATTCGCTACCAGTGGTAATGAATTATGACACGCGGGACAATCAGGTAAAAAATACTGTTCGCGTGATATTTCGATAAAAAATTTAGCAAAGAATGACGCTTTAGTCACTATGACATTAATAATCTTTGTTTCTTTAATGCTGGTGTTATGGTTGTGGATGTGGAATAAGGAGGGAAGGAAGGTATACGCAAGAGGTGGAGTGTATGAGACTTTAGAAGGAAAAGAGGATTTACCGTTTAAGTTTTCTGACTTCTTTTCTTACAGTATTGACTGATGAGACATAAAGGGTGTGGACCATAGGTGAAAACCAATATGGGTTCGGAGGAGACAAAGAGGACTCTGTATCTGGGCCTATTAGCTTGCTATACTAGACGGGGAAATGTAAGCCTTGCTTGAAATTGTATCAAAGCAGAGCTTAGCTTTTCACACGTCTTCCCTGTCAGGTATATGCATCGACGACCATAAAACGCACCGTCTCTTCATTTTTTTCCTTCATCGAGAGATGAAATGAAGATGAAGGACTCATAGTCATCGCTGCCACATGTGAAGAAAGAAAATAAAAAATCTCCACCTAACATATATACTACAATAAAAGGGAAGGAATTTTTGGGACTAAAAAATCCAACTTTATTTCCATGGCATGTGATTCCACCTGTGGTAAAAACAAATAAACACGAAATGAATCATTGTAGGTAAGTACATCCCTTTATATAAGATTGGATTATTTGTACCCAAGTCACCTAACATGAGAATGAATCTTTGTAAATTGTGTTCAATATTTGCCTCCTTAGAGCTGGGGATATGGGTTACAAGAGAAAAGTCTTGAATTTTTAGAATATTGAATCTTAACTATTATGTCGCAATCCTTAGTTACTTTCTTGCGGTGGACCTTGGACATGTGCCTCTAAACATGGAACACATACATTTCCATTTATTCAATATCCAGAACTTCCTAAACAAATAACTTGTTTATTATTCCCTTCACAGCAGCAGCTTGTAGTTCTTAGTTTCTTACATCTAAACAACTTTAGTACTATGTCCATTTCTAAGACTATCAGATAGACCAGAAATTATGCAATTCCATCAAGCATTTGAGTCAGTTTTAAATTTCCTATGTTTTTTTTATTTTAATCATTATCATGAAATTATTCACTTCTGTTATAAACATTTAACTTACATTCTTAGCTTCTTGTAAATATTAGAATCTGGCTTAATTTTGTTAATTTTTATCATTAATTGTCTAAAGGGTAAAATAAAATTCACACAACAAATCTAAGATAACCGTTTTTATAGATGGTGTAGGGTACTAATATCTTCCTTATACGTAATCGATTCCCAAATCTTGCTCAATCTAAAGACTAGTTTACAAAAGACAAAAGATTTTCCAATTTTCCTGATAAAAGATTTGGTGGCTGACTCAATTCACAAAACCAATCGTTACAAACAGGCTCATGGCAGAAGGGGTTAAATTAAAGGAAAATGAACTATGAATTTGTCAACATAGCAATATAGCATTCACAAAATTTGAAAAATAAAATAAACATTGATGAAAACAATAGTTGTCGTTGCTTTGCTGGACTAAAAAGCATGTTACAAAACCAAAAATAGTAGCAATACCATTTTCTAAATGGCAATAAACAACTATATTATAATTGGTTGTGTTCATCCCGAGTCTCAGATAATAATGTGTACATACACAACTTGATATCCTAAATGTATGTGAGAAAGAAGTGATATATCATTACTCCACATTAACACTCTCAGAGCATAGTCAGAAAAGAGAAAAATAAATAAAGAAGCACATAGTTTGCATATTGCAATCTCAGCAAGTACAAGACATTTTATTAATCGTAATCTACAAACTGGTCATGCTGGACTATAAAACAAGGAATAAAGTACTACAAGGGTCCTTTGCAGTTTGCACAACTAATTTTATATGGATATGATCATAAATTTCAATTAGCTATCAGCCACAGAGGAACCAAGCCCAATTTCAAAATGAAATGTAATGCAACTCAACTCATGCTTGTTTCCATCATACATCTTCATCTTCAAAGAATATGAACCCAGCAAATGCAATACATGGTGAGAGCTACGCCGTTGAAAATAAAAATAACAGATTAGGTTTAAACAGGAAAGGTCACAACATTTTATAATAAAACACACTTAACAACATAATCCCCTGCTTTACTAGAAACTTAAATGCCTTCAGGGATGCCCATTGGCAATTACACAGTTAGAACAATATACCACTTAAAAATACAAGTCTAATTTAAAAGCTGATACAATTAAGGAAACCAAAAAATGAGCATTTAACAGGCTTATGGCAGAAGGGGTTAAATTAAAGGAAAATGAACTATGAATTTGTCAATACAGCAATATAGCATTCACAAAATTTGAAAAAATAAAATAAAATAAGCATTGATGAAAACAATAGTTGTCGTTCCCTTGCTGGACTAAAAAGCATGTTACAAAACCAAAAATAATAGCAATAACGGCTCTCTTTGATTACTGTTTTAAAAAATAATTTTTTAGTTTTCAGAACAAAAAAACTCGTTTGGTAAGTCCTGATTTATAAAAAAATATTTTAAAAATTGTAATTATTTTTTTGTTTTTAAAATTAAATTTAGACAGCATGTCTGAGTTGTTTTTGTTTTCTGTTTTAATTTTTAATTTTCAAAACAAAAAAAAAAAACATAGAAAATAATTGTTTTCATAATTATTCTACAAAATAATTTTAAAAACAAAAAAATTAAAACACAAACAAGCCCGTTACGTTTTCTCAATGGCAATAAACAATATTTCAACACGCTGAAACTGCCATTTCTATATTGGTTAAAGGAGCTAGTTATGCATCATTTATGAGAGCATTCACTATAAAATTCATGTCATGTCAACCATATTGTGTTCACCCTCCAATCCCCATATATCAACAGAAAAAAAAAATCCAAATGATAAAACAAGTAGCATACTAGTATTGAACGAATACTTGTACTGTCTAAGATGAAGATGAAGGGACTCAGTCATCATTTTATAATTTGTTTTCATAAAAATTATAAAATACGTTTTAATATATGTTAATTTTTAAATATAACCTCTTCTTTTAAATATTATTTTAAAATTAATTTTATTTGAAGTTTAATTTAAAGATGTTGTTGTTTAAATAAAGAATTTTATTAATCTCATGTAATAGAAGAGAAACTCTCATGCTACAGATACAATCATATGTGAGACTCACCCACCTATAAAAAAAGAAAAAGAAAGAAAGAAATAATACGGAAATCAATGTATATATAGGAGAGAAAAATACTCTCCAACAACATGAGAGTAATATTTTCTTTAAATAAATTGAATATAACTCAACCCTCAGTAATTACAGTAATTACATTTTACAAGTAGAGAGTCTTTGGTTTTTTTGGAGCATTGCGGTGTGACTTGGAGATCAAGTAAGAAACTAAACGATTTGTTTCATATATCCTTAAAGCAGGCTTCGCTTTCTATTTCAAAAGAGGCATTGTGTTTTTAATTTCCTTAATAAACGAATAAAGAGACTAGCCTCAAAAGAAATAAAAAGATGGGAATGATTCATTTATAATTTTTTTTTACAAATTATACTAAGTATGATCGATCATATACTCTTGATTGAAGTATGACCCGTCATACTTAGGGCTCGTTTGGTGAACAGGATATGATATGGGGCTGATAAGCCTATATCATATCCTGTGTTTGATGAGCACCTGATTAGCAATCTGATAAGATTATGTAGAAGGAGAAAGGAGAAAGAAAGAATAAAATATAATGCAATAAATACAAATATATTGGGTAGCGTGGGGATATATTGGGTAACCAATATTGGTATCCTATCCTGTTGAATCCTAACCCAGCTCCCCCACATAGGATAATAAATCATGTATTGAATAGGATAAAATGAGACTATAAGATAAACTAATCATATCCTATTAACCCACCAAACAAGAGATAAAAGTAGGATATGATAAGTTATCCTATCCTATTTTCTTTACCAGGTACTCCAAAGTCCAAACAAGCCCTTAGTGTAGTTTGTAAATAAAAAATTTATAAATATAACTTTTTCCTAAAAAAAATTAAATGATTACGGTTTCGAAAGGAACTTACTATTCATATTGCTTATATAATATTTGACAATTGACAGCATCCTTATACTTTTATAAGACTTTGTTTATGATATTTTCGTCTAATTTTATTAAAAATATAATATTATTTGAATTCACTTAAAAGATATAGACCACATTGAATAAGATAAGAATGAGTTTGTGTTTGGGAGCTCTTATATTTTTTAACTTCTCTTTGAAAATTTAACCAAACATAATTTTATTAAAACTTTTATCATAAAAAAAAAGCTTTTTTTTATCATTAAGAAAAAAGCTAAATCAACGTCGATAATTAAAGTAACAATTTTCAATTTCTCAACACCTTCTTCCCTTCACTGATCAGACAAGGCTTCTTTTATCCCCTCTTATCAATGATGATGGACTTAAAAATAACAAATCAGCTTAAAAAAAACACACTGGGATTAAAGAAATTGCGGTGGATTCAAAGGAAGAAATTAGTTTTAGGACGCTACCAAATGTTACGTAAAAAGAGAATTTTTATCATGCTCAAATTGTTCTTTCCTATTTTACATGTCAAAAGAACGTAGAAATGTAAATGAATAAACAAATAAAGAGCATTATAATTTGATCACGGTTCACTATCTACAACCAATCAACACTTAAATATCAAAGTTGACAATACAAATCATACAAATGAAAATTCAGTAACATACGAAATCTCTAACTTACAAACGCCATACTGCATTACATCAATGGTATTGAACACTTGCTAAGGCATTTAGAGAAAAGAGCATGCTGTCCATTGATCACACCAATTGAAAACTAAGAAAAACGGAAATAAGTTGAACTCAAGAAATCAACCAAAAGGCTTGTTTCACCGACCATCAGAAGAAGTAAAAGACTCTGCAAATCCAGTAGGCCTTGCTGGGATACTACTCTTACTGTCTTGCATGTCTATATAACTCAAATCCTTTCCTTCTGTCTCCTGCCACCCCTTTACCATCTGGTTAAGGGGAAGACTATAATCTATGCCTGAATACTCTTCAGTGTCATCATCTAATGGTTTCCATTTTTCAACAAGTGGTGCCAGAACATTCACAGCATGACCCATATTTGGCCTTTGGTTTGGTTCTCTGGCAGTGCAATGCCCAGCTAACTCAGCAATGGTTTTGATGCTCCCAAATGTTTCTTCCTTTATATCAAGGACTGGGTCAATAGCAGTCATTAGTTTCTCCTTATCTGATTTTATATGCCAGAACCATGCTGCCAAGTATTGGCTTTCCTCAGGTCTATCTTCATCAAGTGCCATTAATCCGGTTAACAGTTCCATTAGGACGACACCAAAACTGAAAACATCTGCCTTGGTAGTGATTTTTCCAGTTACTGAAATATGTAAAATGGTAAAATGCCAGAATCAGTACACTTCATGAATCTATCAAATACATCGGGACTATAAAAGTTTCATTGTGTGGTACTAGACATATAAATGATATAATGCAGAGTTATACGGCGGTATATCCAGCTGCAAGATGTTTCTGTGATGTCCAATTTTTCAGGAAAATGCTTAGACACTTATATTTCACTTCTTTTCAAGCCTTCATAGACTGGCTAAAGTACATATAGATGAACAAATTGGATTTCTCTAGTAATTACAAATTTCTGGAAGAGCATCCACGTGTCTAGATATTTATTTTACGTATAATGCATAGTCAACATACTCTAAATGATGTATACAAGTAAATTCAAGTTTTTCCCCCTTAGAATAAGTTCCTTTATTAATAACCTTGAATCTAGTATTATGAAGCACTTGACCAAAAAATATGGGGTCAATGGCTCTATCAATTCTGCTAGAAAGTTCCAGTAGGAAATCTGCACCTCAGATATAGCTAAGACAGCTATTAGAAGCCATACGCTGAGCATATATTAGCATATACAATTAGGGAATATGTAATCTTGAGGACTTACAAAAAAACAAAATTACCTGCATATTCTGGTGCCAAGTATCCAAATGTACCAGCAAGTCGTGTCATTACAGATTTTTTGCCATCAGGAGCAAGTTTTACCAGCCCAAAATCGGAAACTTTTGCTCTAAAGTCATCCCCAAGCAAAATATTTGATGATTTAAGATCTCTGTGAATGAAACTCTGGTGAGCCAGACTATGAAGATACTCCATTCCTCTGGCAACATCCAAAGCAATATTGAGCCTCCTCTTCCAAGATAGGGGCTCCAATTGTAAGCTCTTCCAATGGAAAAGATGATCACTGAGAGCCCCTTGTGGCATATACTCATAAACTAGAAGTCTCTCCGCACCTTCAACTGAATAACCTAGAAGAGACACCAAATGACGATGTCGAACTTTTGATAGAACTGCAATTTCAGATTGAAATTCATCCAAGGCTTTGCTGCTAATCACACCACATTCCATTCTTTTTACTGCAATTTTAGTCCCATCATCCACTTCTCCCTTGTAAACAACCCCAAATCCTCCACGTCCAAGCATATTCTCTGGGGCAAAATTCTTGGTCACATTTCGAAGAACTTGAACTGATATCACGAGATTTCCAGCTTCAATGACATGAGACTCCCCATTTCCAATTAGATTCCCTGACCCACTGCCTGATGCTGTGGAAATATTGCTTCCATTGCTATTGTTAGCAACAACAACCTTTGCCACATTGTCTGAATCAGATGGATCTCTAGGGTGAACTACTAGTGAACTAAGACCCTTGGAGATACCCTTTCTCCTCCTGAAACAATATACATAAAGGGGAATGAGCAGAAAAGCTGCAACTGCAATACCTGCAATAGGGGCAACAATTGAAACCAAGTTTTCCCTTTTGGAATTTTTTGAATCAAGAGAACTACTGGAATTGGAATTTGAGTCTGTTGATGGAATATCAGATAAAGGTTCAGCCTTTCTATATGACGGGCTAGTCCCTGATGGAGATTTTTCTGGGCTACCATGATTTAACTGAGGATTACCATCAATCACAAGTTTCAAGCTTCTAGGAAAATTTGGCAATGGAGGGGAAATGTTATTACCACTTAGATCCAACAATGTCAGGGATCTCAAGCTAGTCCAGTTGCTGGGTATTTCACCACTAAGATTGTTACCTCCCAACCTGATTTCAACAAGGAAATCCAAGTTTGCAACCGAAGGACTTGGAGTACCACTAAGATTAAAGTTAGACAAAATAATCATAGTTACCTTTCCATTGTCATTGCACTTTATTCCCAACCACGGTCCATCACATGGATTATTACCAGTCCATGAATTAACTAGATTTGAAGGATAATTCAACCCACCAAGAAACTCTAGCAGCGCCATGACCTCAAAGGAACAAAGAACCCCAGGTTTGGACTGACAAAAATTATTAGAATCAAAAGTGACTTTTTTTGTTACAAAATTTGGGATTGGACCCATGAAGTGGTTGTTGTTCAAATCTAAACGGTCCAATTGCATTTTACCTAAAGCTTCAGGGATTAACCCAACAAGCTGGTTCCCATTGAGATCAAGATCCTTCAGAAAAGTCAAATTCCCAAAATTCAACGGAATGTTACCTTCAAACTGATTCCCATGGAGCCACAAACTCGTGAGCGAGACCATGGTTGCCACCACTTCTATAGTACCAGTGAGGCCGCCACCCTGTTGGTTATTCAACCAGAGAACCTGCAAACCCGGGATGCCATTAAATGTCGCCGGAATCTCGCCGGTTAAGTTGTTGCCGGAAAGTTGCAACACCGACAAAGACACCATTTTCCCTAGAAAACTAGGAATTGGACCAGCCAAGTTGCAACTCATACAAGACACATTGGTCAACTGTGTCAAACCCTGCAACCCTGAAGGGAATTGCCACCCACCAGTGGTGGCATTGAGGTTGTTGTTGTAATCCAATGCCAAAACCTCAAGACTCTCAAGCCCATCAAAGAAATCTTCAGGGATGGATTCGAACTCGTTGTAGTTCAAAAACGCATACTTTAACTTTGACAAGCCACTGAAAGATGGTAAGGGACCATTGAGCTTGTTGTTCTGAAGGCCTAGATTCTCCAACATGGTGAGTTGGTTCATGTTCTGAGGCAGAGAACCCACAAGGTTCAAGTTCTTGGCTTGAATCTGAGAAATTCTGTTTCCGTTGCAGTAGATGTATTTCCATGGAGGATTGCCACATGGGTCTCCTCCTTCTTCTTCTTCTGGCCACTGCAACAGTTCAGGGTTCTTCAACCCTTTTCTGAATTGGTTCAGAATATTTACATCATTTGGGTTCGTGTCTGTGAGAACCACCCAAGCGAGTGATAGGATGAGGAAGGAAATGAGCTTCAGATAAGAATCTTCCATGACAAGGCTCATCTGAAACTGTGATCACAAAATGCTGCATTCTAACATTTTTGAGATAGAAAGAGAGTCAAATGAATGTATTAAAAGTAAATTAAGGTTGTTACCATTACCAACAACAAAATGGGTTATTAAGTAAGACCAAAAGGTTTTGTTTTTGCGTTAATATGACTTTTGGGAAAACTCACGGTTTTTGTTATAATATTATATTACATCACAACATCCATGGTCTCCCACTCCACCACGTATATCACACTATGACATGTCCTCCTCGTTCTATGTGCCCCCCTAATTGACTTTCCATTTTTTTTATGGAATTTAATTTTTGATAATTAGTTTACGGAAAAAATACTTCTTATGTGGTACAAGAAATGTTTTTTCGTGTAGTGACTTTTTATTTTACGTGTAAATTTTTTTTAATTAGATTACGATAAAAGGATAGGATATTTTTATTATTAAATATTCTTATTATTAATTCATTGTCACTCTAATATAATTATATATTTTGGAAAATACATTAAAAATTATTTTTTTTCTGTTTTCAAAAAATTTTCAGAGATTATCTGTTGAGATGTGGGATCCAATGGTGATAGAGAGATAGTAAATTGATACTAAGAATATTTACCTCTCAGGAAAAACACTTCTCATATTGCATGAGAAGTGTTTTCTCATATTATGACTCTTCAATTTGTGTGCAAAGTTTTTTTTTAATGTGTAAAGCTCACCACTATTTGAGTCACAAAATGAGAAAACAATTTTCATGCAACATATGAGAAAATCAAAACCCTTAATTTAGACATGGGAAACGTTTTTCTCCAGTCACCGGAGATAAAGTTATCTCCAGTAAACTCGAAACAATGTCGTTTTAGGTTATGAGATTAAAAAAATATAATGATAAAGACTAATATAACCCTGCAATATATTACAATTACAAAAATATCTTGATTTTCGCCCCAAAACGACGTCGTTTTGAGTTCACTGGAGATAATTTTATCTCCTTTGACTGAAGAAATCATTTACCATTTAGACATATATAATTTAATGGTTAAGTGACTCTCCAATTGTAGGAGAGTTATTGTCTTCAGCTAGGGATATAAATGATTTGAGTTAAGCTAAGCTTTGGCCTAAACAAGGTAAATTTATGAAAAATATTTTGAGCTTGACTTGACTCATTAGTTTGGTATAAGCTAAATTCTTGGCTTGGCTTATTTATAAAAAATTAAAAGTTTGGCTTGACTCATTTATAATTATAAAATGTATTTTTTCCAAACTCACATACGTCCAAATGTTGTGATTATAAATGCATCAAAATTTTGTATTCCTTTGTCAGAGAAATAACAATCATAGAACCCACTCAGTCCACATATATTTTAAGATCGAATAATAAGTTCAGCAATTTCTTCTTAAATATTGATCCAACTCATGAAATAAGGAATGTGAGGAAAGAATATTTTAAGAAAAGTATGTAATATAGACTAACCTTTAAAATTTCTTCTTAAACCTGGGACGACTTCACTGCTAATGGAATAAGTTGTCCAAAATCCAAAACTTATTATATTATAATCTTCAAAAAAGAATAGAGAATGAGTTTGGTTAGTTGCTTGTGGAGTTATAAAAAAATATGATTACAAAATAGGGTTAATGATTTAGTGACATAAAAACATATTATTTAGTACAATAATATATTGGGTCAGCTCACATGCTTTCAAGTCAACACTCGTTAATTTGGTTTGGGCTTTTTGCTAAATAAATTTTTTTAGTTTGAGCTCATTCTATTTATTAAACAAGTTAGGACAAGCCAAACTCTCGGCTTATTTACATCCATATCCAGTCATACAGAAAAACATGAGACTTACATGTTAAAATAAAAATAAAAAAATAGGCAGCAGTGCGAAAATAATTTCTTTATTATAATATGTAATAATGTGCTTATTGCAAAATTGTATCGAGCTTTATGCATTTAGTTTTTGTCGTCTCCTCGTGAGAAATGCCAAATCTTCTTACAACAACCACCATTCTTGAACAAAATAATATTAGTCTTGTATTATCTTTCCTTAGGATCCTGGCTGTCTACAATCTCGACCCTTAAATTTGTTTTGTTTTATGAAAGAAAATTCAAACGTAGTTTTAAAAATCTTAATCATAGGATTCAAAACCGCATGACATGTAATTGCAGTTTAACTACGGACAATCATAATCCCTTTTCTTAAAGCTCTTTACACTTTAGCTGAAGAACAACATCTACGAGTAAATAAGCGAAAAACTTTGTACGACCTGCACCAATTATATGATAAAAACTATAGAAGTAAAATAAGAGTACGAGGGAAATTAATGTGTCACCAACTTTATTCTTAGCAAAAATATATGAATTTTTATATTAAAAATATATATGATTTTTTCTTCATCCAACATTAAAGTTCATAATATTTTTTTTCGTAGAGTTTATAATGAATAATTTAATAATTAGTTAAGAGTACTAACTTTACTATTACAATTCCATATTCCAAAGAGATGGAAATAAATAAATAAATCATAACAGACAAAACAAAATTAATATGCTTGAAAGATCTAGGACTAGGAATATTCAAATTGCTAACCTTGTGGCCTTATGGTCAAATGATCATATTCACTTGATCACATGCATTCTATCCCTCGAATAGTTATGCAAAAAATGTCCAAATGAATACAGATTAATGCTTCACATGAGAAATGGGATTTTAGTGGGGATTGTAGATTTAAGTATAAATTAATTATTACATGCAGACGCAGTGATGAGATCCCCCAAAACTTGATAGAAGTATGCCTTCGGCCTTCGCGCGCTGTTTTTTTTTTCTTTCTTGGATGTGTTTCATAGGATAGAATTCATGTCATAATTAAAGAATTAATGTGTAATTCTTTTTCGTAGTAAAAAATGATGGGAGGTTATTGATTATTCTAGAAGAGTATTTTATTTAAAAATTTGGTTATTACCCAATATAGTTTTGGTAGTTAATAAAAAAGTTAATGGTACGGAACCTATTTTCCTTTATTTTGTCATAATTTTTGAGAAAATACCATATTCTCATAAATTTTTTGGTTAGAACTTTAAGTTATCCAATAACTATTTTCAAATATTAATAAATTTCCATTGAATTCTTTTAAACTTTTCTAAGTATCAGTCAATTGTTGGAAATTACACTGTCAAATGCTGATTATATATACTCAAATTGCTTAGATCGAGTTATATATTTTGGGAGTTTTTTAGTTTCCCTGGTTGTAATAACTTGCATAATTAAGTTACACTAATTAGAGATATAAAGTGTAATTAAGAAATAATTACATAAAAAATATGATTTTAGTATCAAATCTTGATTAGGGGTAAAAAGATAATTTAGCAAAAATTGTGTAACAACCCGTGTATACCCGGTTTGTTAACATTACATCGTATTAAGCTACGCTTAATTAAAAATTGCGAAATATCTTTTTTCTTTTACAATTATGATGTCATTATACTTAGCCAAGTTGATTACTTAATCAATTTCATAAAAACAATGCCTGTATGTAAATTGCAAGACAACTAACTGAAATACCTCAATATAAAATATAGAGTGAGTACTTAGCCATTCATAATCACTTCAATCCTACTTCTTGAATTGAGAGGGGAGTAAACCCTTGTGTAAGTGAAGGAAAAGTGTTAGTATCCAAGACCGAAGTCTTGGAAGAATATTGTAGTGGTTTGTTGAGCACCCTTGAAGCTCAACCGAATAGTGAAAGTTGACAAAGCGGCTTCAGTCTGGACGTAGGTCACAATGGTGGTGACTGAACCAGGATATATCTCGTTTGCAATATCTCTAACCCTTATCTTTCCATAAGCATTGTTAGATCATTTGAGCATATTTAATTTCATACATTGTCATTTATTTACTTGAATTATTTGCTATTATTTAGTCTCTTTGTGTAGTAAATTATTTGAACTCAAGAAAACCTTTTTCAAAAAGAAAAGTGATGCATTTTGCGAAAATATTTTTAAAACTCAATTCACCCCCCCCCCCCCCCCCTTTGAGTTTGTGGCCACTTGTCCAACACCAAAAACACAAGTGTGACTAATTGATGATTTCTTTCCATTTCACCATTAAGAACAGTTTCCTAGCATCTTTACAAAGGCATTTATGTTCAACATCATCACTACACATTAAATCAAGCTAACCCTCTTCAAACACTCACATTTTCATTACTCAAATTTCAAAATCCATATAGGCTAGTTTTTATGATTGATTCATCATCATAAACACCATTTGTCACACTTTTCGAAAGGACTCAAGACAAAATCAAACCACAACTCAAGTTGGTTACTATTTATATCATTAACAATCATTAAAACATCCATAAAAACTTACGATTCTTACCTCAAAATTACTTAGGAAAACTTCTCCAAGCTTGAAGGCACCCAAATCTCTTCCTTTCTCCTTAAATTCAAAAATGGTGTCACCTCTTGAGAGAAAATGATCTCCTCACGCAATGGTTTTTGAACGAAACTAATGGTAGATTCTTGTTAGTTAGGAGATTTCAAGTGACTTTGATGACAAACACTAAAGGTTTTGATGGCTAGATGAGGAAGTTTGTCTATAAGCTCATTTCCATGGAGGAAAATGAAGCATTTCGTGTTGGGGGGATGTTTTGGGGGGGATGACCGAAAATCCTAAGGGAAAATGAGGGAAAATCAACCTAAGTGAGTTTTCACCAAAGCCGACCACTTTTAATGTGAAAAGATCAATTTACCCTTAATGAAATCCCCACTAATTCATTTATAACCCATGGATTAAGTCATCTAACATTTATTTTGACATTTACCGAAATCATCTAATAGTATCACACTACCGTATTTTAAAGTTTCGGGTAACTTTTGCATAATTGCATTTCTACCCCAGAAAGTGACTTTATTTGTATAATTAATTTTTTATCTAATTAGCCTCTTTCTAATATGATTCCCTAATTTCATGGGCTTAGGTGAAGTGTACTTCATAAAA